ATCTTGAAGTCGAACTCCTCTTGCCTGCTGAAGCGGCTCGGCCAATACTAAACACATAAATTCCCAAAATTTCTACTTATTCCTCTTCAAGCTCTTTACTTTTGCAGACTTCGAGCAGAACATAAGTTCTTAGTTTTCATGTTATTGCCCTTGACCTTTTTGAACTGAATCAATTTTTAATGGATGCTATCTTCCCGCGTGAAGGACACGAACAGATATTGACCGTATGAATCGAAACTGAGAAAGCTACACTCTCTGAAATTTTTTTGTGGCTCCTAGGAAAAAGTTGGGAGAATACTTAGTGCTAGTTGATTAATTTGCTTCATACTCCTTGCCCTTTGAGAACTACCACACTACTCCAACTCTTCAAAACAGTCTTTTTTTCATGGCACGACTTAACTTAGATTGGAAAATATTTAAGCACTGCCCGTCAGGGGAGCATTTCAAAAAGCCATTCGGCAATCCTAAGCACAACATGTGATGTTCGAAGACATTGCTCTATTTTTACTTTCTAGAGCATGTTTTTTTCATCCCACTTTGCATATCTCATTCGTATTTTTATAGCACTTTCCTCGTTCATTTGCACAATGTTGTGTTTTTGATCATTTGTTCAACTATTTATATGCATGTCAGTATTTTCGATTGTTTAAGTCCATTTCCAAAGCCGCTTTGAAAAGTGATGAAGTTTAATACATTCCTAAAAAGGCTGCCGTTGTTTTCTGTTTGTCATCCTGCCGTGATTTCCATAAATGCATGCATCAAAGTGCCAACAATAACGCAGGAATACAATGGCGCAACGTTCGTAAAATTCAAGCAACGTCATAGATTCTATTTATCTTCATCGTGTTTTACTTTCGGAAATGATCATTTCTGGAAGAATGATTTGCTAAAGTTTGTTTAACCCCTAGTCTGGCAAACAGGCCGCTATGAACTGCATGTATAGACAAATTCATTTAAAGGTATTTTAATTGTATCTCAATTATAACTAGAACTTTTAAATCTGACAGACAAACTCGTCGTTTTATCATTGCAAATGATCTATAGTCTCTAAATTTACCGCAT